TGCATGTATCCTTCCAACCATTTTATGGGTTACCAATATTTTTATGTAAAACATACAAACAAAAAACTAGAATGCCTTTGTTGAACATATTAATTCCAGGTTTATTTTTGTGTATCTCTTTATGTAAAACAGCCTCACCAGCCATTTACAGCCTCTACATCTTTAAACTTCTGATTACCTGTATCTGCTGGATATTTAGTTTGTATAGTTTTATTTGCTTCTGTATGTGTATTTTTGTGTAATATTCCCAAGGGTTAAGTTAAAATAAAGTCAAGGGTTATCTTACATTACAAATTACCTGTGTATATATGTAATTAAACATTTGATGATCTTATTTTCTACTTTAAGGGAAGTTCAAACTTTAATACCAGAGCAAAAGTCGAGGAATAGATAAAATTTCAGATATGTCACTTCTGAAAAAGATTCCATTTACTTTTGCAATGTATGTTTATTAAAAAAAATATTACTCATTCCTTCCATAATTGTACAAGGGCAGACCAGGCTTACACACAGTGTATGGTAAAACAGCAATACTAACCAGAGTGGGTAAAATGGAATAAAGGGAGATAGTAGCAAAAGTTCCTACTATCTAAATACCTAGATTCCAAGCAAGAATACTTTATTCTGTTTCTCTTGTATATGAAATTTAGAAAAAACAAAGTTAGCAAATTGGGGTATTTAAAATATTTCTGCTTAACAGAATAAAAGATGGTTCTTTCTGTTGAAGTAGCTCAAGTCGCAATTCAACAGTCATGCCTAAAAACACTTAGGGCTCCATTATAATGATATTAATTCATTTTATTCTCTATCTCATTGTCTGTTTTCTTTTTTGCCCTGTCCCTGTTGCCTTTTCAGCTGAATTACCATAGCAGTATTCTAATTAGTCTTCTTACCTAGTATTACAGGACAAGCAATAACTTGGTCGGAAGCAATATGGACTATTGGCATTTCCTAAAATATCAACAGCATCAAGTACTAGAAATCTGGTTTTGTCCCACTAATCTATCAAACTTATCAGGTATTCAGGAGTACATGCCATTCCTAATATAATATCCTAGTATAGATATAATCAAGTCTAAATTACCCTGACCACTTGAAATGCTACTGCTGCTACTTCTGCTTTTTATAATAAAACCCAGAAGACTTCCCCTGCTTTCTACATTTCATTTATGTATGTTTATCAAATTGGAATGGGAAACTTGATACTTAACCTTATAGGTCCTGCAGTAATTAGCTGATCAATGTTGAAATAAAACCTTTTAAATATTAATTTTTTTTTTTTTAATTTTTCTGGTGGGGTGGAGAAATTTTCAAGACAGATGTGGACTTTGCTCTGGTGCCAAAGCTTGGAGGTCCAAAAGGAATCAGGAGATAAATTGTCAACATTTTGTAATTCCTTCTGGGGAACAGCAGCAGTGTTCTTTATTCTGGACTGTACTGGAAGAGTGTAAATTTTAGCCATACTCCTTATTTTGAGAAGTCCAACTTAATTGAATTTTATTCCTCCTAGTATTAAAAAGGAGAAAGCAAGCAAAAATCCCTCAAGCCTAGAATAAATATATATAAAATTTTATTTATTTCTGTGTATACCATCAAATCGGACCTGACTGGTACAGGAGGAGATTGCCCTTCCTTTTCCAGCAGAGCATCTGGTGGATTCAAGCCGCATACCTCTGGGATTGCAGTGCAGCTTTTTTCCACTAGGCCACCAGAGCTCCTAGAATATATTTTTTTAAAATAAACTTTTATTTTATATTGGCTTGTTTAGAAAGTTTGTATACATTGTGTTTCACACTATACTTCATTCACATTGTGTGTCATAACACTTACTCCCCTTATATATTTTTAAATTTTATACTGGTTTATTTACAAAGTTTGAACACATTGTTTTTCACACTGATCTTTCCCATTTCCTTCACCCCCGCCCCTCTATCCAATTTTGCGACCCTATGATTAACTCCCTCCACCTACCCACCCTCATCCTTCTGCTTCCACCCTCCCTTCCCCCTTGGACCCTCATACTTATTCTACAATAATGGTTTTATACAGTACTTGTGCTTTCCAATCCTTCCCAAGTTAGGTAGTAATATATAAAATCAGTCCTCCTGCATGCTGCATAGTATTCCATTCTGTGAATGTACTAAAATTTCTCAATCCATTTGACTGTAGTTGGACATGTGGGCTGTTTACAATTTCTTGTGATGGTGAATAACATTGCTATGAACATTGGTGTACAACTGTCTGTGCCTCAGTTCTCAATTTTCTTAGGGTATATTCCAAGCATATAGCTTTGGATAGCTGTGGAATAGCTGGTCATATGGAATTTCTATGTTCAGCTTTTTGAGGAAGTGTCAAACTGCCTTCTAGAATGGTTGTACCACTTTCCAATCCCACCAACAGTGTATAAGAGTTCTTATCTCACCATATCCTCTCCAATATTTATTACTTGTTGTCCTGCTAAATATTGTCACTGGTACTGGAGTGAGCTAGTATCTCATTCTGGTTTTGATTTGCATCTTAGTGCCAGTGATTTTGAACGTATCTTCATGTGTATTGGCCATCCAAATGCTTTCCTCTGTGAAAATTCTTTCCATGCCTTTTGCCCATTTGTAATTGGATCATCACTTTTTCTTGTGGAGGCCCAGGACTATTCTATAAACTTTCATTATAGGAGTCGTGTCTCGGATGGTATTACCAAATGTTCCCAGTCGGTAGGTTGTCTTTTCACCCGGTTGAGAAGTTTTTGATGAGCACAGAGATTTAATCTTTAGAAGGTCCCATTCATAAATTTTATCCTCTTTCAGATTGTGCATTTCTGGCAGTATTTGTCTGTCTCTCTATACCGTAAACTAAGCCTTCTAAGCTTGATCCCAGTTTGTCTCTTAGGAACTGTTTGGTTTTGGGCTTTACTCCTAGGTCACTGATCCACCTTGAATTGATTTTTGTGTATGGTGTGAGATGTGGGTCCTGTTTTAGCTTTCTGCAGGTAGCAGCAGTCCAGTTTTGCCAGCACCATTTGTTGAAGAGGTTGTCATTTCCTCATTTGATAGTTTTTTTTTTTCCCCTTATTGAACACCTAGCTGGATCTGTTTCTGGATTCTTAATTCTGTTCCATTTGTGTGCCTGGCATTGTGCCAGTACTATGCTGTTTTGGTTAGCATTGCTGCGAAATAGGTTTTGAGGTCAGAGAGTGCCATACGTCCAACCTCACTTTTTTCAGAAGTGTTTTGCTTATTCAGGGTCTCTTGCTGCTTTAAATAAACTTGATAATTTCCCTTTCAATCTCCTTGAAAAATTAATTTGGTATCTATAATGGGATTGCATTGAACATGCAGCTTGCTTTTAGGAGGTTTGTCATTTTCACAATATTGTCTTCCTAGCAAGATTCTGCTGAAGATTATCCAAAACAACTGGAACAGCACATCAGCAGAGAACTGCCAGAACTCCAGGCTGGGTTTACAAGGGGATGTGGTAGTAGGGATATTGTAGCTAATATTAGATGGATATTGGCTGAAAGCAGAAAGTACCAAAGGGATGTCTATCTGTGCTTCACTGATTATGCAAAGGTGTTTGACTGTTTGGACCATAACAAACTGTGGCTGACTCTGAGAAAAATGGGAATCCCAGAACACTTGATCATGCTAATGCGAAACTTATACTTGAACCAAGAGGCAGTTATCAGAACAGAGCAAGGAAACACTGCATGGTTCAAAATTGGTTTCAACCTGTATGCAGAACAGATCATCTGGGAGGCTGGGCTCTATGAGGAGAAATGTGGCATCAGGATTGGTGGAAGATCTATAAACAACCTGCGTTATGCAGATGACAAAACTCTGCTTGCTGAAACTGAGGAGGACCTGAGGGGAAGGGACAAGGACTGCAGCCTTCAGTATGGACTGAGGCTCAATGTCAAGAAGACAAAGATTCTCACCACTGGACCAATTGGCAGCATCAGGATGGATGGTGAAGAGATTGAGATTGTTCACAGCTTTATTCTGCTTGGCTCCACAATCAACACTCTTGGCACCAGCAGCCAGGAAATCAAAAAACGTATTGCGATGGGAAGTCTGCTGTTAGGGACCTCTTTAAAGTACTGAAGAGCAACGGTCTCTCTCTGGACATTAACGCGCGTCTGGTCCAAGCCATGGTCTTTGCAGTAACTTTTTATGTGTCAGGGAGCTGGACAATAACCAGGGAGGATAGAAGAATTTATGCTTTTGAGCTTTGGTGTTGGAGAAGAGTGCTGAGGGTGGCCATGGACTGCTAAGAAAACAAACAGATTCATCCTGGAGAGGGTTAAACCGGGCTGCTCTTGGAGGCAAGGATTCTGAGGGTTTGTCTGACATACTCTGGACATATTGTAAGGAGGGACTGGTCCCTGGAGAGGTATATCATGCTTGGGATGGTGGAGGGCAGGCACAGTAGGGGAAGGCCCACTGGGAGGTGGATTGATTTGGTGACTGGGGCAATCGGGATGAGTGTGTTGGAGACAGTGAGATTGGCACAGGACAGAGTTTAGAGCTGTTGTACATAGGCTCACTATGAGTCACAAGCGAATCGACGGCACATAACATCCATAAAGGGCATGTTTCCCCATCCCTTTAGGTCTTTTATTGTGTCTTGCAGAAATGCTCTGTAGTTTTATTTGTATAGGTCTTTTGTATCTCTAGTTAGGTTCACTCCCAAGTATCTCAATTTGTGGTTGGCTATTGTAAATGGTATTGCTTTCATTTTCTTATCTGAAATTCTCTTTGATATTGTAGAGGAATCCCACTGATTTTTGGATATTGATCTTATATCCTGCCACTCTACTAAACTGGCCCACTAACTCCTAACAGTTTTTTATTGAGTCTTGCGGGTTTTCTGTGTATTCTATCATATCTTCTGCATATAGCAATAGTTTAACCATGTTTGCTGGTCTGGACGTTTATTTCCTTCTCTTATGCCCTAGTAAGCACTTCCAATACAATATTGAATAGAAGTGGTGACAGTGAGCATTCTTGTCTGGTCCCTGTTCACAAGGAAAATGCTTTTAGTCTTTCTGCATTGAGAATGATGTTGGCTTTTGCGTTTGCACATATGCTTTTCACTATGTTAAGGAAATTTCTTTCTATTCCAGTTTTGCTGAGTGTTTTTATCAGGAAGGGGTGTTGGATTTTGTCAAATGCCTTTTCTCCATCAACTGCTAAGATTGTATGGTTCTTATTATTTTTTGTTAATATGGTGAATTATGTTGATTGTTTTATATTGAACCATCCTTCCATACATGTTATAAATCCCACTTGTTCATGGGTTTGATTTATTTTTGTGATGTGATTTGGATTCTATTGGCTAGGATTTTGTTAAGAAAGATTTTTACAGAGGGAAGCATATATCTTAAGTAAATAGATAAATTAATATCTAGGTAAAATGGAAAGTGAAACTTGATATGCACTGAGACTGACAGTGTTTATCACTGGAAAATTTAAATAAACGGCAGTTAAATTGTTTCAACTCAGTTTTTCTGAAAAAAGGGCCTGGGAGGATTAGTCTACTAAAACAAACCATTCTGTATTTGGTTCCATTTTTCCAATTTAGAAACTACGTAATAGGGTCACTACTGGAACAAGTTTTATAATGTTGTTATGTGCCACTGAGTTGTAACCTACTCCTAGCCAATTCTCTACCAGGTTTTCAGAGGCATTTAACTGCAAAGAAGGACACTGCCTGTTTTCCTTCTGCAGAGCTACAGAAAGATCTGAGCCTTATGCCTTTGGGTTGGCAATGTAGCTCCCTATTACTAGGCCACCAAGGCTGTAACTACCATACAATTGGAAATTACCATACAATAAGCAGGAATTATTCCAGTAAATTTATAGGGAATAAGACTACTCTTTGAATAGGCATTATTTTCCATTTTCAACCTGAGACTTTACTAAACACAGGGGTTTACTAAGTAGCCCAAGGTCAAATAATGAAGTAGAAGCAGTAATAGTTTTTGGTATTTTTATACCAATTCATTTTAATGTAAATACCAAGTACAACATGTTTATACAGTTTTATATATAAGTAATGTAACAGGTTAATTATAGAAATGAATATATGGTGCTCTCTACTTACAAAGTTTTTTACCTGGACAAAGCTACTCAAAGACTAACTTGATTATTTTACCCATCTGGAACAATTACTGAAGTATGTTCTGGACTTCATTGTAACACATGTAGCTGAGTACTTCACAGTGGCATTAGAACCCATCTACAGAGGGCAAAAACATTCCATCAACTTCGAAACTAAGTTTTGACCTCTGTGGTGCCTTTTAAAAGACTAAGTAGGATTACTTAGTGTATTCTGTTTAAACTATAGGCAAATATATTGCAGCTTTAATTTGCTACAATAGACTCATTTGATGTTAGCTGTGGTTGGTTAAGATCATCCAAACCATGTGATATATTGGCTTCTTTGAAGGCATTTTATATAAAGCTCCCTTGAAAGAAATTTTTTAAAAATACCATAATTTTTTTAAAAAATGAATATGTTTCACATTATACTTTCAAAATTAAATTAAATGGGTATGCTTCCTTGTCCTCTTGGTAGTTTAGCACTGAAATCACCTTCAGATGGTTACAGAGCATCAATCAGGTCATCATCAGTCCATTCTTCCTAAGAAGGGGGGGAAATATTGTAAGAATACTTATACTGAAGTATTTTTACCAGTATTCTTTTTTTTACTATCTCCTTGTCTAACTTTACAAACATCCTTTTATTCTGTTGAGAATATTTAGATAAACTGGGTAAAATTTGATTAGTTCAGACATTATAATACTGCCATGATTCCAGTGAGGAACAAAGGTTACAGCTATGTCCTGGGTCCTCTAGGTTACTCATTTATCTCTAACTCACCTGGTACAACTTTTAAAAATGTGTGTGGGAATGACACTTGGAGAGTAAGTATCACTATGTATAAGTATCCCTGTTGCCATGTATAAGCACAGAACAGTGCATATAAAGAAGGGTACAAAAACTGACCGCTTACAAACATAGTTTGTTGTTAGTTGCCATTCTGATTCAAGATCTCCATATGCAGAGTAAAAGGGCATTCCCTCAGGTTTTCAGAGGCTTTTAAATGTGTCCCTGAGTTGGGCTGAATTACCAGCCTTTGTTTTATAGTCCAGAGCTTGACTGCTCTATTCAGAAATTCCTTTTAAAACCTATGCTTTTACCTATGTACTTGAACTCTAGAACAGTGCATCTTAATACAGTCACACCATAATATGCAACCAATATGAAATTCACTTTTGCAGTAAACTCACCTCCTCATGTCTAGATTTCTTTGAAACATAATCATCATCTTCATAGCCTTTCCTCTTCTTCCTATAATTATGTATCCATCATTAAGCAATTTTATATTGGCAACCACAACTATAAAATACCTAGTAAAATATAAAATATCTAGTAAAAAACTAAGAAAGTTACAAGCAAAACTAGCTACTGAATGATAAAGCCTACATAAACGGGGGGAAAATACAGTTACGGATTGGAAGACTTAACTCTTCTTCAAATTAATTCTATTATACCCAATTAAACTTCAAATTAAACCTAATGCAATGCTAATTAAAATCTCAGTAATATTTTTCATGTGATTTGTCGAGTGAAACATACTTAGGAAAGATTATTTAAAAGCAAAGAAAATCTGCCAAAACACAAAGTGGGAGATCTTGTCCTAGTTATCAAACCAAACTCCACAAAGGCTATAGTAATTAAAAAACCAGTATCATTAAGCCCTGTCCGGTGTTTGGGTCCATTCCTTTTATTACGGTCACTCATCAGACCTTCACAGCCAAAATGATGAAGGAAATTGGAAGCAAGGAAGATTTTATGGCATCTCTGAATGGTGCTAGAGAAAAACTTGCAGTATTCGACTTCTCAGCCACGTGGTGTGGGCCTGGCAAAATGACCAAGCCTGTTTATCATTTCCTAGCCAAACAGTATGGTTATGTGGTGTTCCTCGAAGTTGATGTGGATAACTAGAAGGATGTTGCATCAGAGTGTCAAGTCAAATGCATGCCAACATTTCAGTTTTATAAAAAGGGATAAAAGACAGATGAATTGTTTGCTGAAAACAACCAGGTGTCAGCTGTTTATAACTTAACAAAAGAGAAAGATCACGAATGAAAATTTTATGCCCAATTGCCATGTGATTATAAATGACAATAAAATATTCTACTTTTTTACAAAAACCAACTATATATGTATTTCTTTATATTTCATATAAAACATAAAATTAAGCAGACCAATGACTGGGTAGGTTACAAAAAGTAGGTAATTTATATGTAGGAATTGAATATATAAAATTGAGTATTTAAAATAACTAGACAAAAATGTGAAATGTATGTAACTGGTTTAGAAATTATTCATTTGAAGAAAAATATTGGACTTCTAAGTTCACATATATTACAAACATTCTAAAGTTAGTTTATAGGTTTAAACAGCTAAACAAAACCTGTAAAAAATTTAGATTAGAGTAAGAAGGATACTGACAAAAGCACAAAGCAAAAGAGCCACTGAAAAGAAAAATCTGTCTTATAAAAAGATAAGTATACAGAATCTATTAAAAAAACCTACAAATAAAAAAGCTACCATAAAACTCATCAAAGGTTATAAATAAGCAATGTAGAAAACACCCCACAAATTGACAGTTGTACACAGCTTTAGTTTGCTTGGCTCCATAGTCAACAGTCTTGGCACCAGCAGCCAGGAAATTAAAAGGCACATTGCCATGGGAAAGTCTGCTGTTAGGGACCTCTCCAAAGTACTGAAGAGCAATTGTGTGTCTCTGGAGACTAAGGTGCGTCTGATACAGGCCATGGTCTTCGCAATCACGTGTTATGCATCAGAGAGTTGGACAATGACCAGGGAGGATAGAAGGAGAACTGATGCCTTTGAGCTGTGGTGCTGGAGAAGAGTATTGAGAATACCATGGACTGCTAGGAAAACAAACAGATTTGTCCTGGAAAGGGTTAAACTGGGTGGCTCCTTGGAGGCAAGGATTCTGAGGCTCCGTCTAACATACTTTGGACATGTTGTGAGGAGAGACCGGTCCTTGGAGAGGGACATCATGCTTGGGAGGGTGGAGGGACAGCGCAGGAGGGGAAGGCCCTGTATGAGGTGAATTGTTTCAGTGACTGGGATAATTGGGATGGGAGTGACAAAGTGCAATTGGCACAGGACAGAGCGGAGTTCAGGGCTGTTGAAATAGGGTCGCTATGAGTCGCAGGCAACTCGACGGCACATAACAACAACAATAGTTATCAGGGAAACACAAAACACTAAGTTGATGGTATTATTTTTCATGTGGACTGCCAAAAGTTAAAGATTGGTAATACTGAGTATTGGTAAGTGTGTGTGTGTGTGTGTGTGTGTGTGTCTACACATGTGCGCGTGCACGTAAGGAAACAAATGGTAGGAGAAAAAAGGCAACTAATTTTTCTGACAGTGCAAAGAAAAATGACAAGGCAAATAAACCGCATACTATGCTATCTCCTTGGTCACGACCAGAAATTAGGTTTTGGTCAAAGTAAACGTTAACTTTACCTGTATTATCTGATTTTTTTTTTAAATTGACAATATAGTTTTGACTTATGTAATGAAATAGGAGACCAATATTTTAAATAGTCAAGGAAAACATCTTTATTCTAAAGTAGGCAGCCCAAAATTTACAAATGTCAAATGTGTATACAACCCACAGTTAAAAACTAACCCTTATAAAACCCATAACATTAAAAATTGAAGGGTCAAACAGAAAGTGGTACATAATAAAAAGGCAGTGCCATATTAAAACACTACTATACTGCTGAAAGTGTTTTAATATTCTTATCAGAGAAAGGTACCTCCTCCCACTGCCACCTAGTTGATTCTAATTCTTATTCATTCCACAGAACTGCCTCATACTTTGCGAGGCTGCCAAACCATGGGAGCAGACTGTGTTGTCTTTCTCCCAGAGTAACGAAACCATCACCTTCTGATTAGCAGTCCCAAGCTTAGCCTACAGCACAACCAGGGCTCTCTAGAAAAGGTACATGATAAACAGCAGGGAGCTCTCGTGGCTTTGTGGTAAGAAGTTCTGCTGCCAACCCTAAGGTGCACGGTACAAATCTACTAGGTGCTCAGTGATACAAAGAAGGGTAATGTCCCCCCTATGCTGGAGGGTCAACCATGAGTGGATTCCGACTCCAGAGCAAACAATACATAATACTAAGAAAATATTGCCAAATATCCCTAAATAAATTGAAACTGTATACTTGCTCCTGAGAGCAGGTATTGGACCCAAAGATTAAAATGACATAAAAAGTTCAGGTACATCCTAGAAAGGTTCTGCCCATAGAATTCTAGGAGGAGGAGAACAGGACAGATCGTACCAGCCCGAAAGCACATCAGTCATGAGAGGGTCAGAAGTATACTATGAAAGCCCAACTTATATCTTGTGTTTCTCATTAGAAATGTCCACTCAAGGAAAAAAAAATCTGATCTGATGGTTAAGTCAGTTGTCCCTGCACGAACAATTTACCAGTTATCGCCAAAACAACACTGGTTCCCTGTACTTACGTAATTACATTAAGTGCAAGCTCAGTAGAGTGACACCTCTCCAACTTTTGTTTCAAAGCAGCAACTTCTTCAGTTCTCGGTGGCTCATACTTTTTCACCAAGTTTCTCATATCTATATAGATTTAAAAGGATTTAATTATAAAAAGGAATTCATAGACACCTTGTTCTTATAGTAATCACAAAACATTTTCCTATTAGTTTTTATGAGAACAAGACAATACTCTTTGAAATATTGTGATTACGAATCTTAAAATTTATGTAACAAACATATTATCCTCCATAAAAACTCCATGAACACTGTACTTCAAGTACTTCGGGCTGGTTACTGCTCAGTCCACATCATGTGCAACATGAAAGCGTGCTGTGCCATCTATCTGTTTATTGTTGTTAGATGCCAATGAGTCCATTATAACTCACATGAAAAACATGATATGAACCTTTCCCCATCATGTGCCATTCTCACCATCTCTGAATATGCTCAGTCATTGTGCCAATCCATCTTTATTGAGGATGCTTCTCTTTTTTTTTTGATCCTCCACCTTAATGATGTATTTTTACAAAGAATGGCCCCTCCTGAAAACATGCCCAAAGTATATGTGAGGCAGTTACAACATCTTTGCCTCTATGTTAGTTTTATGTAAATCCTGGCAGGAAATTGTCCCTCAGTTTTAAAGTCTTTTTACACCTCATACAATTTAGTGAACACACTTACTTCTCTGCCACCAACCAAAGCAATAACATACCATCTGTAAAGATCTTAGGCCAAGCATGTAATTTTTGTTTCATATGATACAGTGTCCAATAAAGGGAGAACACTTTAACAAAATACAGAAGAAGTGATCACCAGGTAAATACTAAAGTATCCTCTTTAGGTGAAAAGCCAGCAATTATGTCAGTAACTGTAATGGCAGAAACATCTAGATGAACGTGTGTTGTGCAATTGTAAAGAATATACATCTAATTATGTTGTTGTTATGTGCTATCAGGTCGCCTGTGACTCACAGTGACCCTAAGTACAATAGCCCTAAATCCTGCTCTATCTGTTGCCAATCTTACTCCAGTATGTCCATGACCACAACCCCAGTTAATGAATCAATCCATCTCATCGAGGGTCTACCACTCCTGCGCTGTCCCGCCACCATCCCAAGCATGACATCCCTCTCCAAGGACTGATAAGGCCTTGTAACATTGTCCAAAGTATATCACACAAAGCTTCAGAATCCTTGCCTCTAAGGAGTAGCCTGGCTTCATCCTCTCTAGGACAAACTTGTTTGTTCTCCTAGCGGTCCATGGTATATTCAATAATCTTTAGCACCAAAACTCAAAGGCATCAACTCTTCTTCTATCATTCCTCGTCACTGTTCTCTGATGCATAGCAAGTAATTGCAAAGACCATGGCCTGGATTAGGCACACCTTAGTTTCCAGACTGACATCATTGCTCTTCAGTACTTTGGATAGGTCTCTGACAGCAGACTTTCCCAATGCAATTCTTCTTTTTATTTCCTGGCTGCTGGTACCAAGAGTGTTGTAGAGCCAAGCAAACTGAAGCTGTCAACAATCTCAATCTCTTCATCATCAATCATCCTGATGGCATGATGGTGAAAATCTTTCTTTTCTTGATGTTGAGCCTAAATCCATACTGAAGGCTGCAGTCCATGACCTTCCGCAGCAAGCACTTCAGGTCCTCCTCAGTTTCAGCAAGCAGGGTTGTGTCATCTGCATAACACAGATTGTTGATGAATCTACTCCAATCTTGATGCCACACTTCTCTTCACAGAGCCTACCCTCTTGGATAATCTGGTCCACATATGGATTGAAAAGATACGGAGACAGGACACATCCCTGATGCACACCTTTCTCAATTTTGAACCATGCAGTGTTTCCTTGCTCTGTTATGACTGCCTCTTAGTCCAGGTATAGGTTTTGCATCAGTACAATCAAGTGTTCTGGGATTCCATTCCTCCCAGAGTCAGCCAGTTTGTTGTGATCCACACAGTCAAATGCCTTTGCATAATCAATGAAACACAGACATTCCTCTGGTACTCTCTGCTTTTCAGCCAAGTTATATCATCTATATGTTGTTGTTGTTATGTGCCGTTGAGTCGTGTGTGACTCATATCGACCCTATGTACAACAGCCCTAAACCCTGCTCTATCCTGTGCCAATCTCA